ATGTGCATTGTAATCTTCTGTAGATATCTATATAAACATACAATTAAAGTTATCTTAATAATGTATATACATTAAAATAGTTTACAATTTTTTTTATTGATTAATATAGAACGCATAAACTAAGTAAGTGCAAATAGAATGTGCGAGAAAAATAGTGATGGAGTAGGTATTGCCATAGACATACTAAGCACAGAACAGGCCAGTCCAGGCACGAACAGAATACTTGTAGAAAATGAGCTGCATACGTACCTATGCTGTGACGCTAGAATCCGCCAACGCACGTCCTTACGGATCCATCAGATCCAATAACCCTTGCATTAGACACCTTTAGCTCTAACACTAGGAGTAGAGACCCCGGTAACCGTACTCGTCGAACTCGACAAAGAGTTCGACATGCAACCTAACCTAAACATCAGCCCGCTGAGTTTTTCGCCGGATCTGCTCAGCGGGTCGCGATTCCGATCCGGTAGTAGATTCATTCGCGAAACAGCTATTCTTGAGTCGTTAGATCTCCTTTAGAGGCGCTCGGGTATCTGTTAGCAAACCCCACCCCTCCTGGCTGAGCCTTTGCTCGCCCACCTGCCCTGGTAAAACTGGAAAGGCCTCCGGGCCACCAGTAACTTCTCAAATATATAAAAATAGAATGCGCTAAAGTACTTTTTTATCGAAGGCAAAATTGACGATGAAGCTTTTTTCCTCTTTTTTTTTCTCCCAGCAGATAAGCGTACAACGATAGTAATAAAGCTTATCTAAAATGTAGATTTTTGGAAAAATGATATCAGCTGTTAGCGAACCATTAAAATATCAAAACATACATTCTCCATTAGATGAGAATAACACACACAAATGGGCTGACCAGATTACAGTGTGTCCGGCGATATTGTCCTATACCTGATTCGCTACTTTGAGTAGTAAATATCGTAACATAGGGTATATAAATTAAATACTACTACTACTGTACTAAACTTACAAAAAAATACAGTTAAAAAATTATGTTTCATAATATTCAAATTAAAGTATATGGCAAATTATATTACATACAGTGCCCCAAAATTCAAGGAAAATCGGGCACCAGACAATGTGCCTGGTCGTAACTACTCGAGAAATAATTAATTCTCATACAAATATTATAGTCTCTATTTGACGCCGCCATAAAATAACTCAATCACTAATTATTAATTGAAGTCGTGGCCTAAAGGATAAAACGTTCGGTGCATTCGTCTTGTAGCGATGCGCCGGTATTCGAATCCCAGGCGGGTATCAATTTTTCTAATGAAATACGTACTCAACAAATGTTCACGATTGACTTCCACGGTGAAGGAATAACATCGTGTATTAAAAATCAAACCCCCAAAATTATAATTTTCGTAATTACTGGAAGTAGGACCTTTTGTGAGTCCGCGAGGATAGGTACCACCACCGACCCATCTAAGCAATAAAAATAATAATAATACCATATTAATATCAAATGGTGAATAGTTGTACTTTTGCAGCCCACTGTACCCATTGATAATCTTGAAGTCCATAGCTTTTAGAGAGATAACATGATACTTTAATATCAGTTCAGTTTATAATCGGCCCGCTTTGATCGTTATTTCACAATTGTATTAGATATTTAATATTATTACCTCTATAATGTATCTAATGCCTATTAGTTCGAATTTACCCTTCTTTATTATTTTAAATCACGTTTTAGATAATAATTTAATATCTTCGTTGCAAAGAGCAACACGTTCAAGCACTAAATGACGTTCAAAGTCCGTTTTCACTGTAATTTAGGTGAATTTCACAACACTTTATATTTATTTAACGGCATCTTTTTTATCTCCGTTACCGCTGCTTTATGCCACATCACTCCCGAACTCCATTCTCAACAGTGCACGCGATGCAAATTAGTCTAAGTACATTTTTATTACAAATATACATACATATACAATAAGAAGTACATTAGACCATCACCTCGAAACTCTTTTATGTCTTTAATACAATGCATTACTCATATCAATAAAACATCACTAAACGCTTCACGAAACTCATGCCTCGCTCCTAACATGAATACAACAGTGGATGCTGTGCTACACCTGAATATAAATGATCTCGTGGTTTATTGTTCGTCCGAAGATGAAATATTACACGAGACGGGATTGTTTATAGAGATCGGTGTGCTACCAGTATCGCTACCGATATACGCATAATTATTTATCATGCTTTGTTTTAGTTGTAACCTTCGCCTTGGTCCGTCCTTATCTTTTTTTTTTTTTTTTTATTGCTTAGATGGGTGGACGACCTCACAGCTCACCTGGTGTTAAGTGTTTACTAGAGTACACCTTGAGATATAAGTTCTAAGGTCCCAGTATAGTTACAAAGGCTGCCCAACCATTCAAACCGAAACGCATTACTGCTTCATGGTGGCAGAAATAGGATTTTTAACGTTTCTCTCAGTGTGCGCTCGCTTAATTCAAATTCAGGACTAGATCCCATTTTTATATAAGTGTCCAGGTACATAGGTAGGTCATAGGTCGCAGTCAGACCCGCCCGAATTTCCGTGCGAAAGAATTTCTAGTAAGTTCTCGATCGTTGGTGAATTTAGTTATTACCTACTGCTATTAGAGAAGAGATCACTTTCGCTGTCATTATGTACAAATTATAATTTGAAAAGTTGAAATCGTTACTGCAACTGTTAAATACCACAATTAATTATAAATGTGCATAATTTAAATGAAAGCGTTACAGATCGCGAACTGTTTATCCATTACGTGATTTTTCTCTCAAACGTAAGCTTTTAAGGAAACTCCGAGCTTTAAAGCTCTAGGTTGACGCTTAACAATTATAGTAGTAATGGATCGGCACGAGTAGAGCTCTAGAGCGTAGATTTAATAAATTTAAATTCAGAAGCGTCGTCTATGGCATTTGATGCGTAGCAAAAAAGGGGATATATTAGACGAAGTGAACTTCGTCTAGACAGATTATTATTAATTATACATGGATGTTTCTCACTGAGAGCCCTCAGAGAACTTTATATGACAATTTCTGGTCTAGCTCCCTTGCGCTGCTAAAGCTGCTAATATTCCGTTTATAATCAGACGAGATTTCGAGCCACCTAATGGTAAGTTGTTGGTGGTAACCGTCGCTCATGGACAATATCAATGCTAATGACACAGCCAGTCAGTATCCCATCTCTGCTATGAATATTTTTTCAATTACAAGAAAGCGAGAATATTTAACAAGAAAATTCTTGTCTAGTGTAAAAAAAACGTTGTAACAGTCACCATATTCGTACATATAACTCACAAAAAGCTTCAAGACAACGAGTTGCCTGCTTTTAAAATAAATAAAGACAGACACCAGAGGTCGATGACTCCTTTACCGCATGTAGAAGTCGTCCCAGGCTCGGTACTGGCTCGTAAACCAAGCCAATTACTATATACTGCCCCGCTGAGATGCCGCTACCTACCTACCTACCCGCCCACCCCTACCTACCGCGTCAAGTCTAAAAAACTAAGAGATACGACTGTTTTATTCCCTTGACTTCGAAGTTAAAGATGCCAATTTAGGTTACGCATTTTCCTTACTCTGAAAGCCATATTAATGTCAGATTACGTAATATTAATGTAATTCTTGAATGCATTAAGTAAATTTCTTTTTAATATAGAGAAATATTTATATTTCTAAATTTTAAATATCTAAATGTGAATAGGCAAAGATAAAAAACACTTAAATAGAGTTTCCTCACCTGTTTGTCAACCGATTTTCTTATTATTATTGCGTCTATTTGAGAATATTTCCTGTTATCAATCACAGTTTTCTCATCGCCATTACAAGAAAACAGGTCTCAATACAAAATGTTATACACAGAATGAGTAATTTTTTTTAGATAGAATTGATTTTGATCGAATTTCGAATCATTGGGCGAATACTAGTTAGTATAAAAGAGACAAACATAGTTCACAGCCCACTAATTGCTTATACCTAAGTACATGCCGAAGACGATAGTAAAATGTCGCTTAAACAAAATAGCTTTTCACTAGTCGCATTTGGTATTAGCATCAACAATTCGATGTTTTTAATTGAACTTCAATTAAGTGTACCGCATTCAAACAGCTGAATAAGTTTTGTTTGTTATGATAAAAAAAAATGTATTGCTTAGATTGGTGGACGAGCTCACAGCCCACCTGGTGTTAACTGGTTACTGGAGCCCATAGACATCTATAACGTAAATACGCCACCTACCTTGAGATATAAGCTCTAAGGTCTAGTGTAGTTACAACGGCTGTCCCGCCTTTCAAACCGAAACGCATTACTGCTTCACGGCAGAAATAGGCACGGTGATGGTACCTACTCGTCAGTGTGAGTCCGACGCACAAGAGGTCCTACCATCAGTGACATATTTTCAAAATTTTTAACTTTAAATGCCTCTCCTGCGAAGTTGCAAAAATGGCGCTTATACCAAATAGCTTGTCACCCCTCGATATTGTTATGTATGTAACATGTAATATGTAAGACTACATTGCAGCGCTACCCAACCGAAACAAGTCTGAATCCTCAATTGTATTTGTGCAAATGTTGTTCTGTGGCTGTTTATATTTGAACACATGTTTGCTTCGCAATATCACAATGGTGAAACCCACTCGTGCGGGATTATAAAATGCCGTCAGCACTTCAGACATGAAGTTCGAGGGTCACGGTTTGATGAATAGTTTTCCTGTTATTTTAATGCTGATGATTGGGATTTCGATCTTAAAATACGAGTAAGCTATGAGTGACAGTTTCTACCGCTGTAAGAAGTACTATGAAAAATTTTCGATAATGACTCCGGATGTGGAATCGATCAATGAATCACTAATGTAATTCTATTTTCGCTGGCTGCTGCATTTGTAAAATTAGATTCGGATACCGTTGACTTATTCCAGGCTGCGAACTCGGTCAGGGATGTTGACCGTAATCCAGAACAGAAATAACTTTAAATGGACCTAGCAATGTCATTTGATGCCTTAATGGGAACATTGGTGTGTCTTCACATCCACGTTACCAAAAATGGCCGTGAATTACTTATTAATCATCTTTTGTCGCGATTAGCAATATTTATTGGCCATATAATAAATAAACTATGTTTTAATTTAACAATCACTTACAAGCTCAAATATTCATACACGTCATAGTCGGCTCTCATACCCGAGATTTGATTAAATTTAACCCGAAGGCTACTAAGCCTTGTGTGAAGAATCATGTGAAGAATGACGAAGTGTTAATACTGTGAGTAAGAAAAACAAAAGTGCGCAACACGAGTGGAAGAAGGTGGTGGTGTTTCGTTACCGAAGCGATGGTGTAGGGGGGTGTCGTCGCGCCGAGCGATGATCGCGCGAGATGCAACGCGGTGGCGCGTGCGCGTTGCTGGGCACGCCGTGCACGCGCAAGAACGGAGCCGTGTGCACGTGTCGAGTACACACGGCGCTTCTACAGGTATACAGAATAATAAAGAAAAGCACAATACTACACATCGAAAAAGAAGTTTCACTTCATTAATATGCACCGTTTTTTTTTATTACCATTACGAGTGGATAGATGAGCTACAACCTACCTGAATGGTTTCCATCGCTCACAGACGTCAGCAATGCGAAGGGCAGAGTCAAGCCGAAGCCTATTGTTAAATACTATCGCCTCGCATAGCGCACGGGTAACACCGTAATGGGGAGCTCATGCCAAAGCCAGAGGGTACGTAGCAAAAAAGATCTCTAAATGTGCATCGGGATGAGTTAATGTTCATTAGGACCGGTCTTTGTGGTGAGGGTGGGGGAGGTCTATGTCCATTAGTGGACGTCTGTGGGCTGATAATAAGAAAAAGAAGAAGACATCATCAACAGAGTCAGGTCGCGTAGACTCCGTTGGCAGTGCGATTGTAAAAACGAGATGATCGAATCATCTGGAACAATTCATAAGAGCACTCCCAGTAGTTAATGTGCCGTTCTCGAAGTCGAACAAGCGGTGTTTTTAGCAGAACCAGAAACTCAGTACAGATTGTAGTCAGCGGCCTGGCTATTTATTGATTATGAGCAACGGTGACCACTACCAAAAGGCGAATCGTGTGATCGTCTTCAAATTCAATAAAAAAAGCAATACTTGTCATTTTAATAAGTGAACCGTAAACCGATAATCTTAAAGCGAATAGTGTTATACATTATTTGCTGTACAAAATATGTCACATAGTAAATCACAAATTTCATATATCCTGTGTCGTTTCGTTTCCCGGAACGATGGCCTCCTAGATATATGTTTTGTATTTATTATGTAACGTAACTCCTCTAGTACTACTTTATTTTCTATTTCTCCTATTTCTTTCTACAATTTCTACTTTTTGTTATTTTATTTTGGTCGATTGGGGCGTCGGTCCTCCTTGTAATAAATAAATAAAAAAACGTGTGGCACTCGGGAACTGCCGCGTTAAAGCTATTGCATAGCATTTATCAACTTATTCAATTATAATTAAACAATGATAATTTAATATTAAAACAAGAATAAAACAAGACCATGACAAACACTACACAAGCGCAACGTGTAAATGTGTTGAACGCGAGCTACATGGTAGGCGGAGTGAGGGGTGTAAGGTTTTTTTCGTTACGGAATTTCATGATTCGGTCGCCGCGCTCAAGGCCCGAGATAAAATCTATGCAATAGCTTAAAATAAATTCTGTTTTCAAATTTACGATTGGTTATTTAATATCAGGATTCTTTAGTAGAAACGCTCTGTAGTCACGCATACAAAAAGAATGCATGGAATGACATGGCGTCAGCCCCAACTTGTCTCCCGTCTAGGACAACGTAAGTATCTGGTGTAGTCATGCGACTAAGCATTTGGTCGATCCTGGGGCAGATGTGAGCTGCCTTGACACGTTCGTGGCCTAATCGGTGGGACGTCCGGTGTATTTAATCGATAAAAGCGACTATGCAATGCACGTCTTCAAATATTGAATTGAATTTTCTATGCAAATGAAGGGATAATGTTGTGTAAAATCAACCGCGCAAAATTTCACTGAAGGATAATAAATGTAGCAAATGTTGGCGGAACAACTACTATACAAAGTTATTTATATTACTTTTTATTTCAAAATATATTATTTTAGCACGCGTCATGGTTGTTCACCTTATAATCCATTTCTCCTCTGTCCTTTTCTTACCCAATACATTCATCCCTTTCACTCTAAAAGCTTTGTTTCCCTCATTAATCTTTTATAATGACATCTTCGATGAAGATGTAACATCTTGTATCTTCGTAATGGTTGTTTTCAAAGCGTATATTATCTGTAGAAGTTGTAGCTCATGCCCCAAGACGAACGATGACAAATAAATTTGGTTATCTGCTAACTTCGGCAACAGTCTAACGAAGCCATTCGAGTAGTTCGATAATACGCGAATCTGCATTCCTCAAGTCAAATCTTTTTTTTTATGGCTTACATGGGTGGACGAGCTCACATCCCACCTGGTGTTAAGTGGTTATTGGAGCCCATATACATCTTCAACTCGAATGGGCCACCCACCTAGAGATATAAGTTCTAAGGTCTCAAGGTATAGTTACAACGGCGGCCCCGCCCTTCAAACCAAAACGCATTACTGCTTCACGGCAGAAATAGGCAGGGCGGTTGTACCTACCCGCGCGGACTCACAAAAGGTCCTACCACCAGTAATCATTTTTGTGTCCATATTTTAGCAATGTTACATATACAACGTAAAATATGTGTGTAAAATATAAATTGTCAAGGGTTATTCGTTTATTAGCATTACCGTTGTCATCTTTGGTTCCAATACACACCCTATATTGTAATTGAAGGCCTACACACAACACAGAATACGGGCGTAGGATATTTTCCGGTGCGTAGCGGTCGCGACATCGAAAAACTGTCTTTTATTATTTCACTTGTTTCCCCGGTTTACGTGACTCGCTCGTAAAAACTGCGGAATCGTAGCGGTCGTGATGGAAAGGATCGAACACGGAAACGATATTTGTATCTATATATTAATACGTGAAGCAAAAACTTTGTATCCCTTTTTACGAAAATTGCGCGGACGGAGGAGTATGAAATTTTTCCACACTTATAGAGATTATAAAGAAGAAGTGCACAATGCTAATATTTTTTTTAAATAATGCATAAAAGATACATAAAATCAATAAAGAAAACATTACACACACTACATACCATGTATTTGACGCACACACGCAGCATGCATACTATTTATTGTCAAACTTTTGTTCTTGACGTATGTTGTCAAATTGAGAATAGATTAAACATTGTTTGTCTTTGTTAAAATTTTTATAGTGTATTCTTGGCGAAATTTGTGATTATAGAAGTATAAAACACAATCATAATAGTGTACAAACTTACAATACCAATTAATTATAGTCGAATTTCGACTACTCCGGGACCTCTAGTTTTCTTAATAACATTCGGTTTCGTTTTTATGTTTTCCTAAGCTTTAGACGAAACTATTGCACTTTTAGAACTTGACCTATGCATTCGTAGTTTTGTAATTTTACACTTTCCGACACTAACGATTTCGATTCTATCCGATTAGTAGTTTTATTTTTCTTTTACCACCTATGCTGATAGCCTTGAGAGGCTATTTCAGCTTCGCCCTAACGTGTGTGGGTGAGCTCACGGGACTCAAACCGGAGTGTTGCCCTAGCAAGAGCAGTGCTTCGCAGAATCTACCACCGGATCGGAAACGCAACCCACTGAGAAGATCCGGCGAGAAACTCAGTGGGCTGTATCTATGGGTTAATTCGCTCGTCGAGCCCTTCGTCACAAGNATGCTGATAACCTTGAGAGGCTATTTCAGCTTCGCCCTAACGTGTGTGGGTGAGCTCACGGGACTCAAACCGGAGTGTTGCCCTAGCAAGAGCAGTGCTTCGCAGAATCTACCACCGGATCGGAAACGCAACCCACTGAGAAGATCCGGCGAGAAACTCAGTGGGCTGTATCTATGGGTTAATTCGCTCGTCGAGCCCTTCGTCACAAGCGACGGGTTCGACGAGGACGGTGACTGGAGACAGATTAGTAGTGCTCACAACAGTTGAAGCCTAAGCTTTAAATTGTTACCGAATTCGTGCTGTAGCCGTCTGACCGAATACTATTGCAATTATTCGGGCTGCGAAAGTGTAGAATCGTATCCAGAATAATTGGATTGGAATCCGAAGAATAGCATAATAATAGTAAGCTAGTAGTTTAATTTCCAAACTAAGGTATAACGAATTAACGATATGCAGCGATTTGGCTCTGTCCCTGGCATTGCTGACGTCCATGGGCGACGGTAACCACTCACAATCAGGTGGGCCGTATGCTCGTCTACCTACAAGAGCAATTAAAAAAAGAGTGTCCCTAATTGTATAAAGATATTGATTTCTTGAATCTACGCGCCAAATGTCGTACTTTGATAGTAGTATGCTAGAAAGCTTCCTTACAATGCCTACAAGAACTGTACCAAGTTTCATCACAATCGGATGAATGGCTCAGGAAGACATAAAGAACAAACATACAAACATTCGTTTCTATTTATTTCATTTTGTCAAGGGCATTTCAACAACACTAAACGACAAATTAGCGGGCAGAATAATGCATATGTAATTTATTTTTGTACATAAAATCATGTTGTAATTTAGTGTAATCTCGTGTTTTTTATTATCTTTATATAATTTTCAACGTATCTAATATTGTACAGTTTTCGTGATCACAAACCACTAAGCTATCCTTCTTCGGTATTACAATGCTATATTAACAAACGTCTATTTTTCTTTAAAAAATATCACTTTACTTTTACTTTTGACTTTCACACCAACAAAAAACGAGATAAACCGTAAAAGTAGTTTTAATTATGCCTACGATTACCGGAAAATACAAAAAAAAAACTATGATTCAATGTTTCCATCTATCGCGTTAACACATTTCTCTCGCAACACTGGCAACACTGATCTCAAACACAGTGCTACCACACGAACGACCGACAGGAAATTGATTGGAATCGTGACCGCCTTCCGTGCTAATTGAAATGATCCAATACAAGCAAGCTCATTATTAATACAAGCAAAACCGTGTTTACACAGCGTCCGTCTTGTAACACAGCGCCGCGATGTGTTCCCTCTTGGAAATGTAATTAATTAGACGATAGTTTTACGAGAAATTCTTTAACGATGTATTGAGTTTACTGAATGAGAGTTCATTTTTAATACGCTTTTATTAGCTTCAGACGTATGTATATTAGTATGAAAGTGACATGATTTTGACCCACTTCAAAACGTCGGATTAACTCGAAATTTGGCATACGTATTAAGGACAGATGACAATTCAATATTTAAAAAAAAAAGATAAAAAAATTGAAATTCAACTAAAAAACAGAAAATAAATTTTAATAAATTTGAATTGAAAATAGTGTAAGAAAAATTTTTTTTATTGTGAAATTACTACATGAAATAA